GACTGCTTTCTTCATAGTCACCGCCATGAAAGCCTCAAATCTTACATTTTTTATTGTTCCCCAGTTTGAATAGGTACTTTGGGTTGCATTAGACAATTTTATTTTGATGTTTTGTTTTCTGTCAGGTAGGATCTGAACCAACTTGCTGCTGCTCCTTGAACGTCAAGAAATTGTAACTTAGTTAGCAAATTTAATGATTTACACAGTCAGAAGTTTCTGCTAAATGACAGTATATTCCACCAGCATGAATTTTTTTATTTATAAATTTTAATGCATTGTCTGTCAACTTAAAGACTGCAATTTTAGTGGTTATTCTTTTCATGAAGTCAAATTGTTCTGGGACTAGTACATTATTAATCTGGAAATAATGGTTTAACCTATTGTACATAACTTTCTCAAGTACTTTAGAAAAGGTAGTTAAAAGTGCTTGTCTAATGCATTTCCAGTTCATTATGGTCCAGAATGAAGGCCTTTTTTTAATTGCTGGTGGGGTGGGACTAAGTCCCTTGTACTGCAGCCACTTCTGGCCTATTGTACCAGCACCAGATGATAGGTGAGGGTGATTGTGAAGCAATTGGTGGAATGAAGATTGGCAGGGGAAACCGAAGTACTTGGATAAAACCTGCCCCAGCGCCACTTTGTCCACCACAAATCCCATTTGACTAGACCTGGGATCGAACCTGGGCCGCCATAGTGGGATGCCAGCAACTAACCGCTTGAGCTATGGTGCGGCCAGAATGAAGGCTTGCTTTATCTCAGTCGAAGAGGCTGTATGGAACACAGTAAATTAGAAAACATATGGATCTGAAAATTAGTGAAAGTAAAGGGAACCGAAAGGTGAAATGACTTACAGTGCCCTACATACTCGTATAACTAGCATATCATTTCACAGATCATTTGTGCTTTTTGATATGCAGTGTTTAAAAATGTTTTCTCTGAAATAAATGTTCATGTGCTGACATATTTCCATAATGTTTATAGAAGTTTGCATTAAACATCGTATAGTATGTTCAGAAGTGTTCTCCATGTCTATCTTAATTTTGGCAGTTCTTGTTGGATGCATTTATGTCAGTGAAATATATCAGTGTCAAAATATAAAGTAATCTTACATGTAACTATACTGGATAACGCTTTAGTACAGTAGGACAGTAATCTTTCAATGCAATTCTTCAAGTGGGCCTTTCAATTCAGAATCTTTCTGAGCAATAAATACTTTGCTGAAGGGAGTGTTCAGCTAAGTAATGTGCTTTCACTGTAGAATATTATGCATTGATTTAATGTGCTCTCTCTTTAGCATGTGTGAATTGTGTACGGTGGAGCTTCTCAGGCAAGTTCCTTGCTTCTGGTGGAGATGACAAGTTGATTATGATTTGGAAAATAAGTAAATATGCATCAGGTGAGACCAATAGAACTAATGTTTCTGGAATTTTGTCAACACTGAAATTTTATTCAGAATTATATGAGTGAGAGGAACTTAGCTCTTCAATTAAGATAAGTATATTGTAAATCTTTTACTTTTATTTGTTGTGTGTCTCATGGTAGTTTCTATGATGTATAAGTTTTGACATTCTTGTGGCAGTGAAAATTCGGTCATCATGGGATGCATTCTGTTGTGTGTTTTTTTATTCATTTTTTCATTCATTTACTTTCCGTGTATCTATGTATAGGTACAACTCAGGATATGGAAATAGTCCATTTTACAATGTTCATACAAAATTACATAAGTCTCATAGATACAATCACCTACATCAATCAAATCATACAAATTATAATACCAAAAAGAAATGTAATTTACTTGATTGAAAGAGAAAATTGATATAACAAATCTCTTCAGTGCAAATATAAAAACTTGATTCAAGAAATTAAATAAATTGCCTGAATATTAATGAGCCAACCATACCTCCATTTCCACCACCATTACAATTAATACCATTAATATTAATATTAAAGCTGAGCTATATGTATTAGTTTTAAATTCTGAAGTCTAATTAAAAACTATATTTGTGTGTATTTTTCTCTTATAATTCCATTCATGGAAAACACTTTAATTTAATATACTTCTGGTTCCGTTTTTATTGTCAGCAGGTGGTAACACAGTGTTTGGTAGTGGTAAGGTTAATGTTGAAACATGGCGCTGTGCCACTACATTGAGGGGTCATAATGGAGATGTTCTTGATATGGCTTGGTCACCACATGATGCCTGGTTAGCAACTTGCTCTGTGGACAATACTGTAATTGTTTGGAATGCTCTGAAGATGCCAGGTGAGTTTCACATAACCAGTATGAATCAGTGTGATATTCAATTCCAATATGTGATGTTTTAAGATTAGAAATGCATTTCACTTTTTCCCAGGAAAAGAAAAAAACTTCGTGAAGCTATCTGATGTAGTTCTCACATCTTGTAACTTCTTTACTCTGCCTTCATAGAATCCAACTGTTGAAGACCTTGCTGTGTGCCTTGATATACGAAGGAAAGTCAGAAATTATCTGCACTTTCACCATAACAAATCTTTAGGTTTGTCACACTTCCTTCTGCACATGCATGCTTACAGTTGGTACTACTGTGGTCACGTGATCGAAGTTTGACCTTGATCGCATCATTTTCCTTGATGCTGTGACAGTGTAAACATGGCCATTCCACTAGCAGTGTGCACCAAGGAGGGACAAAGAACAGTGATCTGATTTTTCTGGTTGGAAGGTGTGTCAGGGGCTGAAATTCACTGGTGGGTCTATCACTATGAGCCAGAATTCAAAAGCCAGAGTATGGCCTGGAAACACCCAGAATCGCCAACAAAGAAGAAATTCAAAACTCAATCTTCCGCAGGAAAGGTGATGCTAACCGTTTTTTGGGACTCATAAGGGCCTATACTGGAAGACTACCTGGAAAAAGGGTGTACAATAAACAGTGCAAGATACAGTGACTTGCTGGCCAACAATCTGAAGCCAGCAATTTGCACCAAACGCCAAGGCCTATTGTCGAAGAAAGTGTTGTTGTTGCATGACAATGCACGCCCACACATGGCCAGCCAGACTGTTGACACCATTAACCATTTGGGTTTTGAGGTGCTAGAACACCCTGCCTACAGCCCAGATCTCACCCCTTCTGACTCTCATTTCTTTGGGTTTTGAGGTGCTAGAACACCCTGCCTACAGCCCAGATCTTGCCCCTTCTGACTATCATTTCTTTGGACCGCTCATAGTTGCTTTACAGACGAAGTGTGGGAAGCGGTGCATAAATGGTTGCGTGACCAACTGAAAATCTTCTTCTTGGAGGGAATACACAAGCTTGTGGACCACTGGACCAAGTGCATCAAAAAGGAAGGAGACTATAGAAAAATGACATACTTGTTCAACTCTACTTCTGTGTATATAAATTGGAAGAACAAGAGTATTGATAATTTTTTACTTCCCTACGTAATTGTTCTGTCATGACAGTACTGAGAAGTTGTGATGACATAGGTATACACATATGTTAATGATGAATATGAAAATATTGAGGAAGAACCTTTAAAATAGTTGCATGTTAAAAGAGGCATATACATATGTTTCTGAATCTGCCATGACAAGCCAAACAAAAATAAATCTAATTGTGTCTTGAGTGTCAACATGAGGCAGATGTTCTTTCTCATTCATACTACATTGTGCTTACTGTTATTAGCTTATCTAATTAAATGGAAAATTTCTTTACAGAAATGGTTGCAATTTTGAAAGGACATTCAGGTCTAGTAAAAGGTGTGGCATGGGATCCTGTGGGGAAATATGTAGCATCACAGTCAGATGACAAGACACTCAGGATATGGCGGACAGCAGACTGGCAGCAGGATGCTATCATAAGTGAGCCATTTGAAGAGGTATGTCCTGTACAACATGCATTGTTTCCTCAAAGCTTCTCACTATTGAACTTTGATGCTGTATTTAAATTTCTTCCCTGATGCACATGGATGAACTGTTGGGACATTTTAAGTTCATCTTTCATTGCAATAATTTATGGGTCTGAACCAGTGATGTTACCAGAAGGGAATACTGAAATACCATTGCATGTTAGGTGATGCTACTCTTGAGATGACAAAGTGAGCATTTTTGTTTGAGGTTGATTTATTTATGGTTGAGGTTAGTGGTGTCATATCTTTCTGATGCTGGCTTATTGCATGCAATATGAAGCTTTTCATACACTTCTGACAATACTAATGAAGTACAAGTGATCTGCAGCTGACATAACCTATAAATCATGAGTTATGTATCCAAATACATTGAATTTCGTGTACTAGGCTATTGTAATTGCTGATCACAGTGGCCACATGGTCTAAGGCATGAACTGTTTTCACCTGCTCAGACACTGGGATTATGGCTTCTAATCCCACTTGAAGCATGGATGTCTGTGCATGTTTATTCTGTGCTTGTTCTGTCCAGTGTGTGCAGGTAAATTCAGGATCAGTAAAGGACTTTGAAATGCAGTGTGGTTAAATGGGCAAATTTTTCCTTTTTGCGCTTATTATACTCCTAGTTAATTATCATGGACTGTTTGGTTTGTTGATTATCCATGCACTTTTTCTTTTAGCTTACATTATCTGTTCAGTTTATGAAATCTATAAAATTTTGTTTTATCTTATAGACAGGTATTTGTGAATTAAGCTTTAATCATTTTCTCTCTGTTTCTCTGTTGTGTTTTTGCCAATCTGTTGGGTGGTATGTACTATATTTTATAGCTCTCAGTAAGGTAGTTAAAAATCACAGCTTCTTCCTTTTCTCTTTTTATGCTGGTATCCCACTGAAATTATGACTGTGACATTGTGTGTATTTCATGATATAACATGTCTGTAACTTGAAAACAGGACAATTCTAATTCTCTGTTCTTTTTTATTGTTCATCCTTCTTCTGCACTCTGCTAGCATAAGTGATACAGCGTATACTGTAATTGCTTTCAGTGTGGGGGTACAACTCATGTTCTCCGACTAAGTTGGTCTCCAGACGGCCAGTATCTGGTTTCTGCACATGCTATGAATGGTGGTGGCCCTACAGCACAGATTGTAGAACGAGAGGGATGGCGTCAAGACAAAGATTTTGTAGGTCACCGCAAAGCCGTTACATGTGTGGTATGTACGTAAGCTTCACATGAAAGGGATGTGGAAATTGAATAAGTGTAGTAGAGGAGCCAGGGGAGACCAGTGTCTTCTGTGTGATGAAGTTGCTATGCATATTATTTCAAGGTCTATCAAATCCGTCAACTAAAGAGTAGAGTCTATTTCTGAGTAATGGAGGAAGTTTTATAAGGAAGTAGTCTTTAAGAAAATTATAAACAGTAGCAATAGAAATCGTCTGAGGGGTCTAAGTGATATTGCCGGCTCAAAGTTAAAAATAAGTTGGAAGGGTGTGCTGTGAGGATTAATCTCCTGTTTGTAGATAATAATTATGTAGAAGTGTAGGGGAGTAGACATATGTTAATTGTTACATTTGTTTGATATTGGGCCTTTTATGAGGGCCCCCATCTCATGATGAGCAATAACCAGGGGTTGTCAGTGTCTGAATCACAACTCAGTAAGTATTTAGAGATAAACTTGACACTGTTATTCTCCCATTTGCACTAAAAATAGTGACAGATAATGAAAAAGGATCATTGAAGCATGATTCTGCATACTGATATATGTTCAGAGCGTCCAGACTCGTGTAAACTACCTTCGGATTCACTGATTGTAGAATTATCATGCACAGTTATTTACAAATACAGATAATTTTTTAAATATCTACATTTATTGTGGAGTGGCATGAACATGGCTTCTGAGTCTTCAGGTATTATATAACTTATATTCAGAAATTCTTCATTATGGAGGTACATCCATTTTATCTAAAGTTCAGCAGAACAGAGGGAGGGATGAAAAATGGTTACTGTGTATGATAATTCTCTTTGTGTCTACAGTCTCCTGCAAGATACTGTTCACAGTAAGTGCTTGGACAGATCACTGTCAGAATGGATACATGCATGGTCACGGCAAAGGAACTGGAGTGTCACAAAGATTGTTGCATCCTATAGCATGAAATGCCTCATATTGTCTACGGTAGACGGTTTTTTTATAGTGTTCCATAAATAATTGATGGTTGATGCGAGTGTTGTAATCGCATGCAGCCAAAAAAGGACACATAACAAGACACAGTATACACAAAATATAGGAAAAACGACTCCCATAGTGGAAGAACCATACAATACGCGAGTTTGAATTAAGACGCATAAGATGATAAATCTTAACAAGTTTTAGTGTATACAAATTTTATTATAGTTGATGAAGAATGTACATTTTAAATAATTTTATGAACGACACATGATGGCAAGCAATGCAGTAGCTTAGCGTAAATAACGCACCTGAGGATGGCACAATGTTGCTGAAACACGTAATGAAGTGATATGTGAAATTGAGTGCACTATGAGATGGCCAGTACATACATATCATGGACAAGAAACTAACTAGATTAGCCAGGTGAGAATACTATCACTGCAGGATTGGAAGTGTTAATGATGTCCAGTTTTTCAGGCACTGATATTGCCTTACATTTGATGCTGGTTCTTGTGATCGTGTTTGATGCTATAATGTTTATATATAATAATCACAGTATAGTACAATGATGTATATAATACACAAGTTATACAGCTTCATGAGATTTAATGCATGTTCACTCTGTATAAGCTAGTATACAGCCAGTTGCCATTAGGTGGCAGAAAACAGAACAGAAGCAGCATTAGGCTGACCTTTGTGAGAAAGTCATTGTTAGATACACTTTGCTAAGTGGTAGCAAGGTGTTGATTTATATTAACCTTTAACGACCGAAAGTCCGGTATACCGGACGGTACCTGTGACCTCGAAGATGCCGGAAGTCCAGTATAGTGGACGCAAGACACGTGCTCACTTTAGAAGTGCTGACGGTTAGACCTTGAGTTTGAAACCAAAACAAACCCACGCAAGTTCAAGTCAGAGGTCCAGTTGTTGGGTCTGAACAATAAAACCCTTCATCATGGCACTGGGTTCGATTTCGTTTACATGTAGGTAAGACTGTTTGTGACTTGGTCAGCCAAACAGAGTGGAAGCTTCTTCACAGAAAAGCTGACCCAACATTCCTCNAAATGGAACGTGAGAGACGTGCACGTAATTCCAGACATCTGGATCCAGATGAGCTGCATGAAATTTTGATGGAAGAGGAGTCGGATGAAGACTATGAAGAGGACGAAATTATGTCATCATCATCATCAGAAAATGAGGAGGAGGAGGTGGCGGATGTTGCGTTCCGTCATAGAAGACCGCAGGATTCGCCAAACGTCCTACCCTTCACTGGTCCTCCGAGTGGCATCAACAGAGCAGCAGCTCTAGGGAAGACAAGATTTTTCATTGAGTCGTCTGGAACTGAACATTGACAACACTGTCCGGCCAGCCAGATAGAAACAGTAACTTCCTGTTTGTTCGCTAAGCGAGAGACTGAACCAGATTGTCTACCAGCGTATGAGAAGTGAGGTCTGTGTGACCTTCACAACGCGCTGAAGCAAACTCTGCCTTTCCGCGCTCCCGCACGCAGTATCTATAGTAGCGTAAACTTACACGACGCAACGAGTTGAAACTCGTGTACAGTCTGACCAAACATTTTGGTGTATAGTATCAATGTATTTTGGATATAACGACATCTCAAGTTTGAAGAAAAAATTATGGGTAAGTCTTTTGGAATTTAATTACACATATAATAGAGAGTATATTTTGAATATCATGACATAACAGTCACAGTTAATTTTTATTTGTAAAAATTGCCATAGGTATATTGTAGGAAATTTCATTCTCTTTCAGGCGGTTTTTAGTTCGTATTTCTAAGCTGCATAGAACGGAAAATATGTAGTTTTTTCTGAAAGTCTACAATATTAAAAGGGCAACGTCAAATTAACTCCGGCAGCAGCGCAGTTGTGGGGGGTTTAAATGCCGACTCTTAAAGGTTAACATTCTGCTTTGTTTCTCATTTGTACTTCATGCAACATAAACTGGCAGGAACTTATGAAGTATATAAAATATCTGATATGTGCTTATAAGCTCTTAGATTGGATATATTTTATGCAGGAAACATTTTAAATGGGGTTTAAATATGTATCTTCTTATGCTGACCCATATTTTTAATTTCTCAGACAGAAAGCCATGTCAAAATATGTCTGCTTAAGCAGGAGCCACTCAGTATTGATTCCATGTGGCATGCTTTTGCATTTATTTTAATCTTTACTTTGTTTGTTTTTGTTAACAGCGTTTTAACTCTAACATTCTTCAGAAATCATACAAGTCATGGTGTAAGCCACAGCAGTATTGCTGTTGTGCAATTGGTTCTCGGGACCGATCTTTGTCTGTGTGGCTTACAGCTCTCAAACGTCCCCTTGTAGTCATTCATGAACTGTTCAGCAATTCTGTGCTTGACCTGTCATGGTCTGGCTCAGGCCTCCAACTTATGGCATGTTCATGGGATGGATCTGTGGCTTTTGTTGAGTTCTCAGAAGAAGAGCTGGGCAAACCACTCACCCTAGAGGAAAAGGTACGAATCTGATTAAACATAATATCAAATTTGGTACCCTTGAAGTTATGAATTTCCATTTTGTCTGATTGGATTTATGAGTAAGTTACTTGCCCCTTCTTTGAAAATCAGGAGATATGAATTTTCGACTGAATGTCATGTCTCGTTTACACTGTCTACTCACTTCTTCTGATCTTCCATGTGTGACAAAATATTTCTCTTTTGAAAGGAAAGGAGCTGATGTAAATATATGCCTCAAATTTTTTCAGTTGGGACAAGCTTTAAGAAAATGTGTAAAACAAACAAATAGAGCTGCAACAGCTACATCATTATCTTCTATGTACTTTCCTGAAAACAATATTGGCCTACAAAAAGTGTTTTACTGCATTTGACTGATTAACTTGAAACATTCTGTGAACTCCCTAGTGATTCTCAAACAGCAATATGGGAACCATTATTCTTTGTTGAACCCTTTAAAAACATTGGCTCACCTTCAGTTTAAATTCTCAGGACTGCCACAGGGGTTTCCCCTTGAACTATCAGATTTCAAATCCTTCACTTTGATCTTTACACAAATATTATTTCTCTTGAAGAATGCCGTCTTCTGGGATGTGGCACCATGTAGATATTGTGCTAACATAAGATCTACACATAGCCACATCCCAGAAGACATCATTCTTCATAGTCATCGCTGTGAAAACTTCAAATCCTACATTATTTCTTTTGTTCAAGTATCTGTCTTGGCTTGGGAGAGAAAATTGCATGGCATCAGATTCAGATACTCACATTGTAACTATATACAACAGTATGCAAACAGGGAATATATGTGGCTGCCCTTGCATTCTGAGTCAGTGGTGAAGCTTCATGTAAAATAATTAACAGTAAAAATATATCATGCTGCTCTACTGTCCAACTTAAAGGCAGTGACTGTACGTTTGTTATTAATGTTGTAGAACTAAGCTAAGCAATGTGTATTGTAATATGAGCATTTATAGTGACCTATGGTTTTGCAGATGCTATAGTACAGTAATATTTGAGGTTACATTTGGGTAAATATGATGTGTAAAGTACTCACCACACACACAACACTACAAATGCACACAGCAGTTCATTCCTTAGTGTGTGGTCCTATTATTGCCTAACTTCATAGTGAGATACCGGCCTATGCATGATCTAATTGGAGGTTCTGTTCACATGCAGAAAATATTAGTAAATCCACATTTCTTATCTGATATTATAATATCTGCTGAAAATGTCCTCCAACATGCAAGCAGATTTTACACCATTGTAACAAATTCTGTAATAAATGTTCAGGCTCACCTTTTGTGGTTTCTAGAGAAATATTTTAGATTTTGATGTGTAAGGAGTCCAGAGTGCATGGGATACTTATGCAGACTTCTTGTTTCAGGTTTCACTGGAGATAAACACACACCTTCACAGTTTATAATATATATTTTACCAACAGATCCTCAAATGCAAATAGATCATGGCATGACCATTAAGTCACATGTGGCAACTCATTCTGGGCAGATCTGATTGTTATCAAATGAACAAACATATCCCATTTGCTAAATCAGGCATGGACAGATTCTAAGTTGTCATGTTCACCCATTGCAATGTTGTGGTCAATTTGGTATCCTTAGTTCTCAGCTGGGAGACTTGACTATTCTGAGAGTTTTAATTGTTTTCCTCAGTCTCTCCACACAGGTGCTGGAATAGTACTCAAATTAAGTCTAAGTCACTTCCTTCCACATTCTTTCCCATGCAGTGGAGGCACTGGCAGATCCTAAAGGACATATTTTAAAGCATTGCAGTATCCATGGTTGAAGTGGTAAAAAGAATACAGATATAGATTTTAATGATTTGCCCGAAGTCACTTGGACAGTTCCAGATATTGCTGAGCATATTGTCATCAACCTGTTTTCAAGACAAGCTTCTGGTCACATCACAGTTAGCTCAGACATATTGCAGTGTCACTGGTTTAAGGATGTTTCTGTAACACACACACACACACATATGTATATATATATCACAAGTTGTTATANGTGTTGCAACTCCTCCCCGCGACTGCATCCGTTCTGCGGTGGTATGACTCACGGCAAATTGAAGCCGCGGCGCGCACTTGATTGTACGCACTGTATATTATCACTAGCACTGCACAATCAATTCTCTTCAAATCAGACAGTGCTGAACATTGTGGTCAAATGGGTAGCACTCCTGCTTTGCATTTTGGAGATCCCATGTTCAAATCTTGGTCTGCAGACTGGCTGTTCTGCCTTTTTCTTGGTTTTCCTCAGTCCTTTCAGGCAAATACTGAAATAGCACCTCAGATTAGGCCATTACTACTTCCATCCCTATCCTTTCTGATTCGTTATTAACTTATCGTTCTGTGATTCAGTTCTATGTAATCTGAGATATTGAAAGTGATACTAAATACACCAAGAATAAATAAATAAGTAGATCAGTTAATGTGCAGTAGTGTAGTTCACTGTTACTGGTCAGTGATCTCATACTTGAAGATCACATATGATAAAGGTAGACAAGTTGATTCTGTGTGAGTTTCATTTTTATCTTGTTGTGAAAATTTCTTGAGAAAATAATTAATGAAATTTACCTGATGATGTGATGATAATTAAAAAATAAGGCAAATGTGTGAAATTCTCTACATCTGCATGACTGGTATGTGTATTTTATGGGGCATCCTGCTTTATAGTATGTTGAGCTGATATTCTTATAAAATCAGCAAACTGATGAAGTTTTAAGAAAATTGGATGTACTTTTTTGTGCATTTATTATGGAATAATCCAGCATCAATAGTTGAAACTTGTTAAAATAAGAGAATAGCATGCATATATTATAGCCAGGCAGCTTTGAACAGGGTTTTTTTTATCACCCTGCAGAGTACTCTGCATGAGCGAATGTATGGGAAATTCCTGTCACCATCTGCTCGCCAAACTTGTGTGGTAGAGACTCCTGAGCTTCTTGAAGTTCGAGAGAAACAAGCTGAGATCAAGGATGCAGCAGTTGCAACAAACCAAAGTGAACCTGCCACTGAACAGCCAGTTACTCAACGAACCCCAATGAAGGGACCAATTAACAAACAAATAGAGACTCGGACATCAGATGGCAAGCGACGTATAACACCTATGTTCATTCCACCAGCACCAGATTCTGGGTAAGAACACATAACATTAAGGAATACCTCGTATGGAATTCAGAAGCAAATTATGGACACTTTAATTGTTGCTTTGTTGTACAGTCTACTAGTTTGAGCCTGTGTGTTCCATCTCCATCATATTTATGTGACAGTGTTTTGTTACATGTGATCATTGCCAGATGCATTCAGATACAGTTTTATTTTCTAATCCAGTATTTTATTTATAAATACCATATTACTTCAAATATAAGACTCACTTGAATTTCAAATGCATCCAATTTTTCAATGAGGGTTTTAGGAAAGAATTAGAAAAGTTCATCTATTTCAGTGAGTTTATTTAGAACATCAGTTAAAATAATAAAATATTTAGAACACATTTTAAGTGAAAAGTAATGGAAAATATACCAGAATGAAATGGAAATTTAAAATTCCCTCTGCATGCACATTCCCTTCCATCTCTTATTTAATGAGAAAGTTCTTCCAGTGAACCTTCAGTTGCACTTTAATTTTCTGAAGGTGATGCACCCTTGCTGCTTTGCTCGCTGTCATCCCAAAGAATGTCATCTTGCATTCCATCTTCCATGGTAAACAAACAGCACTTTAAAAATGATTTTGGAATAATATTAACTGGCACTTCTCTCCAAGATTTTGATATCCACTCCACTGTTATTGATGCTGATGCTCATGCTTGTTTTATTTTGCCACTAGGTGTCAATATATGATTGTCTTTATTCAGCTGGGCATCATAGTGTTTATGGATAAGATGCTTGAATGGTGTGTTAATTGATGCATCAATTTGTTGTAATTGACTTGGCATGCCACTAGGAATTATCACTAGATCAGTGTTTTTGTTCCTCAACCTATTTCTGATTTGATCAGAGAGATGACCACAAAATGCATCCATTGCATGCATACTCTGTGGCTTTGATAATGCACCAGGCTGATTGATATTCCCATACACACCCAAGCCAGTCTTCTATTAACTCCCATGTCATTCATGTATTTTTTGGGGGCTCAAACTGTTACATCTTTGCAGACATTTTCTTTTGACGCTGTCTGTCTGTTTAATACTATGTATGATGGTAATTTCCAGTCTAGAAAACTGAGATTAACGGCCATGGGGATCAGTTGCGCTGACCATGCGACACCCTCTATCCGCTAAAGTTGGCATTAACTTTGCCGACAAGTGGTAGTTGCTCAGTTGGAATAGTTTGCTTGTGGACTACAGGCCACAGAGTTTTTTTTTTGTCCTATGATCGTAATTTATGGCCATTTGTGGTTATAAACAGCATGACAGTAACATGTATTTTTGTAGCCTTTATTTTTAATTGCCACTTGTTTTTCCCCCTTGATATTTACAGTGTAATTACAAGGCATGCTGAAAAATACTGCAGTTTCATCTGCATTGCTGATTTGACTTAAAGAATACTTATTCCTTTGGTGTTGTCTGATAACAAAACACTGAAATTCAGTCAGTTTAGTTTCAATTTCCCAAGGAAGTTTTTGACTAATTTTCGTCCATCATAATGATGAGCTTCTCTTCTTAAACTCTTCATACCATCCAAGACTAGCCTCGAAAGGTATATTACTGTTTCTAGCACATTCTTTTACTTTTGACAATAAGGCTTCTTTAGTTATGGGTATTCCTTTATTTCATACATCTTTGAAATACTCTAAAACAGAAGCATCAGTCTCAGGATTTCTTCCTTTCCTTGGTCCAGAAGAAGACTTTCTGTATGTCAGACACAATAACAATTTTGTTCTTATACTTTGCCAGTGACATACACATGCCACACATACTGTATAATTTCTACCAGCTGCCCATTTACCTATCTTTTCAGTGCACAGAATAACTTTTCTTTTGAATGCAGCATCATATGTAAAACGCTTTCCTATGGGTAAAATTGATAGAAAACTGAACACACCTGAGTAATAAGATTGTCAGGCAATGACAGAACTGAAAGCTGGGGGTTGACTCACAGTTCACAGCGTGTTCGTTCAGTTGGTCAGACTATATACCGTAAAATTGTAGAATGAGCAGCGAATAATGATTGGCAATGATATGGAAGTAAGCAGGCATGGCTTAATTTGAGGTTCACACCTGTCATTTGCCTGGAGGATGGGAGGAAAACCATGAGAGACATAAGTCAGGATAGTCAGTATTTTGGCCAAGATTTGAATCCAGAACCCAGTCAACTGTGGGATTTGGTATGAAACATTTTAAACATGAGCAACAGCACTGATCAGAACAAAAATAAATATATATTGAGCCCCAGAATTATGGATTTTTTACTTTGCCCATCATCTGGTATTCTAAGAAACTAGAGAACACAGTATTTTGGAAACTGGATCTCTTTCTATCCTCAGGTAAGGGGGAAGATATCTCCTGTGTTGTGTCCCTTGGAAAGAGCTAACCTCAATCACCTGAGGATGGATACAGATCCAGTTTCCAAACCGTTGTGTTCTCTGGTTTTTTAGAATACTGGATGATGGATAAAATCTAAAAATTCAGTAATTCTGAGTGTTATAAACAATTGTCAGAACCCTTTAGAATGTATTCCACATCTTTAAGAAAACAAGACAGTGTGCAGACTTAAAAGTGAGAAAAGTTATATACATATAAAAGGAGACTTATGTCTGGTTACATGAACTTTTAACCAGACAAGGGTAGGTAAGTAGTACTGCTTGAGCCAACTGGCCTTGTGTTACCAACAAGTAAGAGAAGGAAAGGGTTTTATCACAAACAGTACACTTGTGTAAGGATGACACACTGATTTAGTGGACTAGCCTTTCCCCAACAAAAACCATTGGATAGTTTGCATTTATATTGTTAGCTGAAATCTGAACATTGAAGCCCATTATTTTGTTATTTTCACAGGGATGTCCCTCTGCCATTTGGAGCAAGTGGTTCTCAGCAACCTACATTTAGTAGTTCATCAGAGACAAAGAGTCGCATTGTTATCGAGAAGAGGGATGATATTGTTACACCTAATGTCAGTGGCAGTAGCAACAGCAGGCCTTGTGATGCAACATCTGCAATACCCACCACACCTGTTGTAAACAGTACATCTAGTCAACCACCTATAAGTAGTCAGACTGTAGGTCAAAATAGGATAACGTCAAACACCTCTGATGGGTAAGTGATATGAATAACTTGATTTGTTTATTTGAATTCAAGTCATACCAGGAGTTGTTCCACTGTAATCCAATTGTTGCATAATCAAGAATCTGCTGCCTAGCAACAGGAACCTGTTTACTGAGCTGTTGCCTAGAAATGTATCTGGTATATCTGCCCATCTCGCTGTCATTGCATAGCGATGGTTTTACATGCTGCAATATGTTTAAATGTGTATGTATGTGTGTGCACGCATGTGTGTATATTTTTAATTAATTAATTTATTTTATTTAAAGCTTTTACAGATTGTGTGATTTAAACTTACATTTAGAAGGAGTGAATTTCTGCGTTTCTTTGGTAATGTTATTTCTAAGGCATTTCACCCTTTTCTTCAGGAGACTAGAAGTACAAAAGGTGGATCGCAGTGTACCAACTGTAGTAGCTACCAAACGCCGAATGGACTCTGCACATGGTACTGGAACCAAGTTACCAACAGTGAAACGTTCCAGGCCACCTGTGGCCACTAGTTCTGATAAACAGCTGCAACCAACTAGCTTGCCACAGCCCTCTGCCAAAGTTGGTTTACCAGGTAATTATGGAAGACTAATGTGCGAGTTAGATCCAATAGAAATATGTCCAAAGGAAGTTATCAGGGAATAGTTCAATAGATACCTGCCAGCTTGTTTGTTACTGGTGAAACGTGGTCTCACCAGTTTGAACTATCAATGCTTTCACAGTATCATATGGAAACATAATGAATTCCCCAACAGGAGGAATTCAAAGTACAAATATCTGCCAGTAAGGTAATGGTTATAGTTATCATCACTCACCAGATAACTGTACTTGTGTAATTTTCATATCTTCTGAGGAAGGCAATCCAGAAATACGAATTCCATTTGGATGCTGAAGTTTAGCAGGTTCTCTATGATCAGTTATACCAGCAGATTACAGAATTCTATGAGAAAGACATTCACTGCTTAACCCTTTCGCGCGGTGATTTAAATTCCGCTGCTGTGTCTCTCCGGCGGTAATATATTCAGCCGGCTATTTAAATTTTGCTCGAAAATGATTTATTCATCATTGTTCTTAAATTCTATGAGATAGGAACATGAAACTTTCACTAAAATGATCTTAAAAGGTGGTTTTATAACCTTGCTTTATAATATGAGCCCCCGGTATCTCGGCAATGGAAGCAGTTCGTTTAGAATTTGAGCAGTGTATCGTACGCCTTGAAGCATGAAACTTTCACTAAAATGATCTTAAAAGATTGTTTTATAACTTTGCCTTATAATATGAGCGCCCGGTATCTCGGTGGTGGTTCAGAATTTGAGCGGAGTGTTGCACGCATTGAAGCATTCTACTATACACAGCGCTGACTCACATTCACCAAACCAGTACTGCGTATCTCTCATTTGGCTCTTTTTTCCGTAAACAAAACATCTTCTGTGCGGCCTTGCCTTCTTCCCCGTGGGGGGAATATAAGAAGAAATGTCTCTCCGTGAGTCGTATCGCTAGCCAGATTAGCTGCAGTAAATTCAACCTTTATGTTATCATAACAAGTGTTGGTGCTTCTGCGTTTCATTTTCCATCCATTTTGGCGGCATAAGACGTCGTAGGGGTGACCACAGAATTCATGAAGTTATTCTAAGAACTGGCTGGTATGTAGTGAACGAAAGCAGAGCTTAGCTGGCTCAAAAAAATATTTATGGTCATCCCTCGAAACGACCACCAAGGTCAGTACGATAAAATGGAGTCAACTGGAGCGATAATACATGAAGGAATGAGTTCTTTTCCCTCCCCCACACACACCCGTATCGTCACAGGGGGTGACCACAGTGTTCTGCCTTAATTTGTGGCGTTTTTCTAAGAACTGGCTGCCATGTACTGTGCGAAATCAATCGATCTTGCAAGAATAAAATTTGGACATCCCTCTTCTAAGCATTCCAATTGAGTGTGTTAGTGTGGCCAGCTCAGGGCAATATGATATTATAAACACAGCACATATCACGTCTCTGCTGTTTATAACTTCATAGGAAAGAAAACACGCCGTTCATGACAGCTTGAAGGAGGAAAGTTCTACCAGAAGCAACAGGAATTTGCTGCAAGACAGGCATATGTAACGATGACTTAGCGCTCTTAAACTCGTGTGTCATTAAATATAGTTCTCCTGACAACAGGCCAGCGAAAAATCTAACAATCTACAGCAAAACCATCAATTATTATGGGCGTTATAACATAGGTGTGCAGCTGGACGAAACATTGACGTCGAACCCCCCCAGACGATTTAAATACCTTGACGAAACATACACGTCAAACCACGCTGAACGGTTAATGATGCAAATAGGATGCATGTCTCTGAGTGTGGTGACTTACTGCACCACAGTCCCGTACAGTGAACCCATGGCAGAGTGAGTATGGCTCGTAATGATGACTTGATTACAGTGACAAAAATGAGATGTAACTGTCAGTTTCTTCACATTGTTTGTATGGAAAACTGATGCATAGAATGAGGGCTTTCTTCTTACGCATCTAAATGAGTGATTCTTAACTATATATTACTGTTTTCCCATAACTCTTTGCATGAACTATATTTGCAGTCCTGCTTCTAAAGTTATTTGTGGTTAACAGCATATAAAGACCCTGTTCACCCACTCTCTGTCCTACCCCTGTCTAGGTGAAAGTTTGCATTAAAAAATGTAACTGTGAGCAGCTTACACCCACCAAGTTTTAACCACTGAGAAATGTCCACTGCACTCTGCAGTATCTTCTACAACTTGACACACAGGTATCCCCATCCTAGGAGCTTCCTCTTATCTCAGTGGGACAGTGATGTCAAAGAACACAACTACACAGGTGCATGTTCAGTGTTTTGTCACATCAAATATCTACTATGTTTCAAGTGGTGCCAGCTGCAGAATTTGGAAAAACTCTTTTAAGTATTGCAGTGAAATAGAGGCACTTGGGTTTAAATACAACATTTGAAATAATACATATGTGGGAATGTAGGAAGCTCCTTAGTTTGTACTTGTTCTTCAATGTCAGCCATTCTTATATAGCTTTTGGTTTCTCATGGTCTGTGGTCATTTCCTCTGGTATGACAATTGCTTCAGGTACTGTACTTCCTTCTGAAAGAGTTGGCACCTTTCTGCGTTGAGCTTAAAGTGGGCCTGTCGGAACCATAGGTCTGCAGCAAATCTGGATCATGTCATGTGGTTACAACTGGCATGACATATAATTGAGGGCCCTTAAGACGGCTTCCATCAGCTGCTCAAACGTCAGTGGAGCATTTCAGAGGCCAAAGGGCATGACTGTGAATTGCCACAACCGTTGACCCATCGAGAATATAGTCTTTTACTTATTGTGAGGATGTAATGGAACTTGCCAATTACTGCTCTCCATATCCAGGGTGGAGAAACACTTGGCTTCAACCAGTATGCCCAGTGTGTCATCAGTCCTAGGCAGTGGGAAAGAGTCTTTCTTTTTGATGTCATTCAACTTCATATAGTCCACACAGAAGTGGATATCCCTGTTTCTCTTCTAGATGAGAATGAGGGGACATGCCTAAGTGCTGTTGTATATTTTAGTAACCCCATGTCATTGCATATCCTTGAGCATTTTGCCCACTTCCACCTGCTTTGCTAGAGTGAGCTTCCTCAGTAGGTTGTTGAATCAGTCAGGCTTCTCTAGCATCGATACAGTGGTACACTCTATCAGTCTGTCTGTAGTCACTGCTCTTTCATCACAAAGACATCCTTGTACTTTGTATTTAGTTCTTCCAGTTGTCCAGTTTCTACATTGCACATGTCTGATCTGGCAGTAGCCATCATGTCCTGTAACTCTTCACGGAGTGTGTCAGTCTTCTGGGTCTGGGGTTTCACTGCATTGACTGGGGTCACCAGCATGGCTTGTTCAGAGTGGCCCAGAAGGAGATCCTTTTGTTGGTGTCTAGCCTCAAAAGGTAACTTTCAGGACGAAGATCCTGGCTTTGTAGTGTCCATTGGGGTTGTGGGTCTCCAGGCATGTTTATTACAGGTCACTTTCTGCTGCACTTTCCATTCCCTTACATTGTGCTTATATCACCTGGTCATTGGCCATCACAAGGCAGGATAACTGAGGTCATGCCGAGGGGCTCTGCAGTGACCCTTCTTCCTGACCTGGTCTCAGCATGTGGCGCCCTAGTTCCATGAATGCATCATAGGTGTGCAGGATCATGTTCCAGGATGAACTTGTTCATCTTTCTCATGATGAACACTGAAATGTGTGTGGTGCTGTATCCCGTAGTCAGTTCCATTAAGGCTTCCTTCAGGATAGGGAGTGTCTGCCATTTGCAGAATATAACACTGACTTGGCATCCTTTTGGGCAGTCCTGCTGCAATGCTGGGCCTGACAGTAGTCACATGTATGCTTCAGTGTTGATGGTCACGAGACATGGTTTGCCACCAGTCCAGCCTTGGGCACTGAAGCTTTTGTCATCCTCATCAGCTAAGACATTGAGTGTGGAGTTAAGGGAAGGAGTAGAGTCGCCAATGGTCCCGCCATCCTCCTGGCTCTTGCCAGTTTATTGAGTGATGGCTGTCTCTTCTCACTAGATCCCCCCCCCCCAAGCATTGGTCATATTTCCTGAGAGTTTCCATTTATTTTCCAAGTGTCAGTCATCATGATCATTGAATTCCTGGGGACAGGCCTTTCAGAAATGTCTGGTGCTCCCACAATACCAGCACCTAAGCTGTTGTTGCACTGTGTGTTCTGTTGGGGGGGGGCTGTTGCCTCCGGAATATCCTGGCACTTGTTTGCTCAAGTCTGATGGGTGACCCATCTGCTATTTTTGTGGCCTCCAGCTCCACGGCCTGACTGAGGGCCTTGCTGAGCATCTTCTCACCTCCCATAAGTAGCTGCTATATCTTGGTCTCTTATCTCGTCTCTCTTCCTTATGAACATATTGCTCTGGTTGTCAAGCAGGGGTGCAGTTGGTCAGCTGTTTGATGGTGGTAGCAGACTCCAGCAGGGACTTACAGTGAGCTGGGTCCTTGCTTTCAGCTGAGAGCTGTATACTGCAGCCATGTGGTGGTCTCCATAGCCACCCTCAAGTGCCCTTATAGTCTCCTTGTATGTTCCTTTTTTAGGGAAACTATATAAAACTTCTGCAGCCCAGCCTTGCAGGGCAATAAACAAGTTCATGGTTTTCTTGCTTGGTGCCCAGTTTTTATACTATGCCATGGCCTTGAACATGGCCCATGATGTTGACCCATTGGATATTGGTGGCTTAACCTATACTTGTTCCTGTACTCCCGCAAGGTCCGCACTCTGTTTGGTCTTTGACTTCTGCTAGTCTTATTGTGAGTCCATGCTGCATGGCTTCTACCAGAGTTTTTGTTGCTTGTACAAGGTGGTTCAAGTATGACCGGGACTGATTTTTTTTTAACCCAAATTGACAAACACTTACTTGCACATGTCAGTCTTCAACGTACTCCCCTCCGGAGTCAACACATTTTTTCCAACGTTCTGGAAGCATCCTGATGCCCTTTTCAAAAAGGTTTTGTGGTTGGCGGTGTATCCACTCCCGAACATTCTGGATGACGGCATCGTTGTCCACAAACCGCATGCCTTGCAAGTCTGATTTGACCCTTCCGAACAGGTAGAAATCACTTGGTGCCAAATCAGTACTGTACAGCGGATGTGTCAGAAGGTTCCATTTCAATTTCCGGAGGGTTTCCATTGTTGTTTTGGCCGT